GGGGGGAGAATCCCTGGGGCAATTAGCTGGTTAGACTAGGCAAACTGCTGAACTCCAGGCTCTGTGAGAGACCCTGCTAAAGTAAATAAGGTGAGGAGCAATATAAGAAGACATCTAACAACAACCTCTGGCCATCATACACATGTACTACATACACATGTACACACATCCATATACATGTGTGTACATACACACTTGCAAACACATATATACATGCTCACATACATTTTTTAAAATTTATTGAATTTTTGTGCATTTTATATAATACATCTTGATCACATTTAAACCCCCACCCTTATCTGTACCCCCATAGCTCCCCCCACAGGATTTCATGCATTCTGTCATATGTGTTAAAGTCTATCAAGTCAAGTTTGTGTCCCCAGATGTCCCCCAGTGTGAGTCTATCCACTGGAACCTGGTCAACATATCTAGCATCACTCCCTTCAAGAAGACCAACTCTCCCTCACCCAGCAGTGATCATTTGCCAATAGTTCCTCACCTAAGGTTGGAGTGTCTTACCCATTTCCCCAGTTCTCTGCTGGGATTTTGTCTGGTTTGAGTTTGCATGAGTCTTGTGCATGCTATCACCATTGCTGTAAGTTCATATGAGCAAGTTCCCAGATGCCTGGAAAACTCTGTTCTCTTGTGATTATCCACCACTCCTGGCTCTTGTAGTAGTTCTGCCTGTGCTGGATAGCTTTAGTAGTCAACTTGACACACTTGGGTAGAGGGAGCCTCAATTGGGGAATTTCCTCCATTGGACTGGCCTGTGGGGTATTTTCTTGATTGTTGAGTGATGTGGGAGAGCCCAGCCCACTGTGCGCTGTGCCACCCCTGGGCAGGTTCTATATTGTATAAGAAAGCAGGCTAAGCATGGACCAGGGGACCAAGCCAGTAAGCAGAGTTCCTTCATGGCCTGTGCTCCAGCTCCAGCATCCAGGTTCCTGCCCCCAGTTCCTACGTTGGACTCCCTCAGTGATGAACTGTGACCTGGGAGATGTAATTCAAATAAACCCTTTTCTCTCCAAGTTGGTATTGGTCAGAGTGTTTTATCATGGCAATCAAAAAGAAATTAGAACACTGTCCCAAAATGGTTCCTGAGCCCTGGATGGCAGAGGTTTAATATAGGAGTCCTATCCAGAGACATGCACTCTGCAATCTCTTATTCTCTACTTTTTGGTCAGTTGTGGCTGTCTATGTTAGTGTCTCTCTGTTACATGAGGAAACTTCACTGGTGAGAGTTGACAGATGCATTGCACACATACATTTTAAAAATGGCAGACTAGTGTGAAGCCAATGCCTTATTTCACAAACAAAATAAAACAGAAAGTCAAGATCCAGAGAGGCTTAATGAACAATCCACATTCAATGAATGGCTGACTCAAAGTGAGATCTCCTTACTTCCATCTCCCACAACATGTATTCAGAAATAGTAATTTGACATGACTAGATGCAGGGCAATTTGGTTGGGAATGAAGGTGCAACGTGGTGAGGCAGACATTAGCTACTAATTTAGGAGCTTAGCATCAGTGAAGCTGAAGGTGTGTTTCCCTGAGCACTGCCTGTGTTCATTGTTTTAGGGTTCCTGCGACAAAATGCCTGACAGAAACAACCTAAGGAAGGAAAGGTTTATTTGGACTCATGATTTCAGAGAGTTGCAGTCCATCTTAGCATGGAAAGGCGTGGCAGAGTGGCTCGGACTGTGAAGACAAGAGTTTGTGGTGGCAGTTGAACATTATAGTGGATTAGGAAGCAGAGAGTGGCCAGAAGTGAGAGCCAGGGCTTCTCTACTTAGTTTTTATCTGGATGACATGTCTATTGGTGAGAGGAGGATATTGAAATCACCCTTCCCCTCCTTCACCTCCTCCCTCCCCCCTCCCAGTCAGGGTCTCACTGTGTAGCCCTGATTGGCCTGGAACTTATCATTTAGAGATCCACCTGTCTCTGCCTGCCAAAAATGCTGGAATTAAAAGCATGAACCTCCACACGCAGCTGGCTATTGCTTCTTTGGATCTGCTTTTCTTCCATCTCCTGATTTCTACCCTTTAGCACCTAGGAAACGAACTCTGGTCCTCTGCAAGAGCAGTACACATGCTTAATCACACAGCCATCTCTCCAGCCATGGTCAACTAATTCTTTAACAGTATTTCTTTTTTATTTTTATTTTTTTATACATTTTTATTTTATGTGTATGAGTGTATTGCCTGCATGTATGTGAATGCACCCGTGTTGTGCAATGCTGTGGAGGTCAGAAGAGGGCATCAGATTCCCCCTGGAACTGGAGTTAAGGACGGTTCGTAGCTGTCGTGTGGGTGATGGGAATTGAGCCCGGGTCCTCTGCAAGAGCAGCCAGTGTTCCTAACCACTGAGCAATCTCTCCAGCCACAACAGCATTTCTTATATAGTTATTTTTTTGTTTTATGTCTGGACATTTCAAATTTGAAAGTCCTTAAAGGCCTGTATCTGATATTGACTCATTTCTCTCTTCTTCTGGTGTGTTTCATCCTCTTGTATTATGACCTCCCACTTAATTCTTAATTGTGCTAATCCTTCAAGTCTGCTTTAGGGACACTCCATTCCAAAGATAACTTCCAGTTGTTTCCATCTGAGCTTTGGAGCATCATCAGTCTCCCTTCTAAGGAGAAACCAAGACTAAGCCCCTTCCCTGGTGTGCACAGCCCAGGTGAAGCTGCCTTGGCTTGCCCTGGGCTAAGGCCTGATCTCTTAATCGATAATCAGTCGCCTAGTTTACCTTCCAGGCAACTTCATCTTTTACATTTGCTTCCTGCTCACAATTTCCATGTCTGGTTTTGGCTCACAGTTTAGTTTTGGTTTGCTGAGGTGCAGGGGAGGGAGGATGCCAGCCAGGGCTGTCCTTGGAGATGTCCCTTGTAGCTTGCAGTTTTCACAGTACATTTAAAAAGTGTACAGTATCTAGTGTCTCGTTGCTATTGAGTGGCTTGGCCCTGACAGATAGGTGGTCTGCCATAATGTTTGAGGGGGAGGGTCTTTTACAGCATAAGGAATCCTGTCTATGAAGTCCCCACGCTGCTGCACTAAACCTGATGCTTTGAGATTTAAAGGCCTGTCATCCTGTTTGTTGAGAGACTTGGGTGGCAAGCATGTTGCTCTAAAGAGAGAAATGGGTGAGAAGCACAGATTAAGCTTTGTCTTCCCTGAAAGTGTTTCTAGATTTTTCTCTTGCTACAGTACGCCATGACCTGACTCTCTCTGATCCCATCCACCTTTCTTTTATCTACTCACATGTTGATAAAAGTTTTTGTTTTGGTGACAGTTCCAATCCCTTACCTTTGAATAGTGCTTTGTAGATTGCAAAGTTCCTGCACACAGGCTGCCTTGCCTGCCTTCTCAGTAGCCATCTAAGCATGGCATCAATGTCTCCACTTCAGAAAGGGACACTAAAGTTCACATATGTCACCTGGCTTGCCTGTGAATTTAAAGCCTTTTCATCAGAACCTCCATACACACACCTCCTGCCCCAAAATTCATTGCTTTCTCCCATTAAACCTGCCTTCTATGAAATAGTAAAACACCTGCAATGAGTCATTTATTCACTCATGTAACATTTATTGATCTTCTGTTATATATCAGGCACTGTTCCAAGCAGGAGGATATTACTGACAGTAGAGCCTTAGATTACAGTCTAGCTGGTGGCAGATAATAAATGAGCATGCAGCCATATAATTTAGCCAGAGAGTGGTCATTTCCACATATACACAGAAGGGCTTCTAGGGGAGTATGGGACAAGATGAATGACATGAAAGAAGAGCTATGGGCGGAACCAGGAGGAAAGTATTCCAGGAAGAAGGGACCTGCCAATGCCCAAAGTTAGAAAGAGCTTGGTGTGTTCTGAGATCACCGAGACTGTAGTGGCGTAAACAAAGGGGAGAACAAAGAGAGATGGGATCACAAAGGTGACTGGGCAACATGTTAAGGAACAGATTTGAGGAAAGAACTGAAAGTCTGGCCTTTGGAAATGTGCTTCCTCCTTAAGCATCTGTGTGCTGATCAACTCTGGGTTTTAACAACTCTCCCCTCTAATTTGCTTGTCTGTTCACAGGCTTACCGGTTTTCCCAGCTTCCTGAAATGGTCATGGGCTCTCCCCCTCCACCTGTACCTCCTCGGACTGGTCCTGTGGCTGTTACTTCCCTCAGACGGTAATATACTCCTTTCTTGGCTTCATTTGGAATATTTGGAAAGATTTGGTCTTGTGCTATTTAGTCTTCTGGACAGTAGCACCAGTAAACTTCCTTCATTCCCTTCCACATTCAAGGTGGGGTATGCTGAGTGTCAGGAAGGAAGTGGGGAACCACAGAGCATTGATCAACTTGCATGTCTTTCTCTAAATAGAAAGTCCTTAAGACTCCACAGTCATAAAAGACCAAGGTCAATTGCCCTGTGTCTTGCTTGTCCCATATCCTGACCTTGAAGGTATGTAAATTACTCCAGCTCAAGCTACAAATCTGACTGTATGTATATAACCAGAAACCCAAAAACCCCTTTATTACTTACAGGGCAGTGTCTACGGTGCTGTGGAGTAGTGAGTTTGGGCACCCACTCTCAACTCTTGACTTCTAAGAGGAAGAGGCTGATAATACATGAGTTTACACATCTCAGTATGAGGCATTTGTTAAACATTCTCTTTTCTCTATAATAAGATTATGTGCACACATCTTTAGTAAAGCAGGATAAGAAATTTAAAAACCCACAAACACTAGGAAAGATCGGAACAAGTGTAATACCCAAGATTGGGAGAACCCTGCACTGGGGAATGTATGGGCCACTTGTCCTGGCCCTGCCTCCAAAACCTCCCCCAACACACTAGTCACCCCAGGAGCTTCCCCAGAAAAGATGATGTTCTCAGTTCTAGTGGTTTAGAATGTGGAGCTGGTTTGACATAACCCCTTGCGGCCAGTGGAGATCAGGGTGGGGTGGGCAGAAGCTGACCAGAGTTCTATTCCCTAATCTTCCAAGCAGATTACCTTGCCTTGTTGACCTCTGATATGATTCCTTATCTGTAAACATTCTGGGATTCCTCAGAAAGGGGGTGCAAAGCGTATAAGGCAGAATCCAGGAGTTTTCCTGGGAAGCTTCTTCTGAACCAGAACTATGGGAGCAAACAGTCAGGAAGGGAGTGAGTGGGAAAGGGAGACCCCATACTGCCCCCACCTTACCCCACCCTACTGTGTTGTCAGATCTTCATCACCTCCCGGGGGAGCAAAGGGAGCTTCTCAGTTATTCATGTGAGTCCTGGATCAGAGGTGCCCGCTTCAGTCCTTTGTGGCAGGTCTGCTGATGGCCAGCATCATTGACTTCTTCTGCCAAGCACCAGCCTCATCCTTGCCTTCTGCACCACTCCCCATCCTCAGCAACATGAGACAGCCACTTCCTTCACAAAAAATCCAGGGCATGAGACCAGAAGCACACCTTCAAGGTGAAGCTGCCCATCTCTTTGATTTTACAGGAAACAGGCTTAGAGAAGGGAAGTAAAGAACCAGACCCCTGCCTCTCTGTCCTCCTCCCTTGCTGTGCTCTTGTCTGCTCTCACTGTGATGGCTGCTTCTCTGACAGAATGGTCCTGTGGGCTGCCACCTGGCACTGGCTACAGTTCACTCTCCCTGCTTCCCAATTTAACATTAGGGGGCGAGAAGCCCCACCGCAGGCCAAAGGTGTCATCTGTGAGGAAAAGTGGTCTATGGGGAAAGTACCCTTCCTAGATGGAAGGATGTGGATGTCTCTGCAGAAGACACTAGCCGCTTCTTCCACAACTTTTTGCACTAAATAAAAAGATGAGGATATGTAAAATGGTGTGATTCTCTGCTGCCTGTGGGACTAAGAAAGAGGAGTTCCTCTTGTTCATAATGCTCACAAAGTGTCCATGGTCTCCTGCTTCTGCGACTGACCTGTGCTTCCCAAAGTCATGGGTTTCCTGCCTCCCTCCAGTAGAAACAGCAAATGTGGCTCTCCACCTGTCTGAGTCACTCTTTCTAGTGTCAGCAAGAAGACATTCAGTACACTTAATAAGGAGCCTTTCCATTGGCTGATGATGATGTCATCACCTCCTAGGTCTACCATCCCCAGCTACCATCCCCAGTACTAATTGCCTTTCTGCTTTTACATGGAAATTAAATGTTCTACTACCCAGAACCATCCTTAGAGAACTGACCTCAGACAGCTGAAAATGACTCCCACACCACCACGGCCACTGCTACAGGTCTGAGAGCCTCTTCATGCTGCTACCACCTTTGGGGGCAAATCAGTCTCAAGGCCCCATGAGGATGGGGCTTGAGGACAGCAGGTCACTTCTACATGCAGTGCAACTGCTTGAGGCCTGAGGTGTGCTCACACAGTCCCTCTGTCCTGCCCAGGTCGACCTCAGACATCGGTAGCAAGACGCGCATGGCCGAGTCCTCTGGGCCTGAACCCGCCCAGTTGCATGACAGTGCCTCATTTGCCCAGGTGTCCAGAGGTCCTGTGTCTGTGGCGCAGTTGGATCAGTCGGCTTTAAATTACTCAGGTGAGCCAGAAGAGGAAAGCCTCATTTCCTATGCTGAGCCCCTCCCCTGTCCACACCACCATCAGGAATCAAAGCCATCCCATGTCTGGACCCCCTGACTTCATTAGCATTGACCAGAAGATCTACTGGTTTTATTTCTAAACACAAAATATGAAGTCAGGCAAAGTATCAAGTTATGCTAAAGTCAAGGTACATGCCAGCATTTTGCCATATTTCAAGGTTTTGTTTGCTTAAAGACTATTCTGGCTTAGGGCTGGAAAGATGACTCTGCAGTTAAGAGCACTGGCTGCTCTTGCCAAGGACCTGGGTTCAGTTCCCAGCACCCACATGGCAGCTAACAACCAACCAAAATTTCAGTTCCATGAGGATCTGATGCCATCTATTGCATGATATGGGTATAATACATATATATATATATGCAGGCAGAATACTCAAACACATCAAATAAAAATAAATGATAACAGGCATGGTGTCACACATCGTTGATCCCAGCCCTTGGGAGGCACAGGCAGATGGAACTCTGACTTCCAGGTGGGCTTGGACTAGGGAGACCCTGTCTAAAATAAGTAAACAAATGAATTGTTTTATCTTTACACTTTACACATATCACTGTCCTTCCCCAAGGAAATCCCAGGCCTCACACCATCCATGTGTTTTTAAACCTGAGATAAGTGTATATGCCTATTTAAGGGTATATGGCAATACATCATGCATTTTAAGTTTACATAAGTTGTATGCTACACATTTCCTTTTGCATTGTTTTCTTGACTCAACATTGTTTGCAGAATTTTCCCAGTGGCTACATGAGTATGGGTTAGCTCACTCAATTACCCTGCCATGTCGGCATCCTGTGCCATGCCATACCACTGTCAATCCTTGTCCCTCTTGCTGGACATAAGGTTGTTTCCAGTTTTGTGTCCATGACAGACAACACCAAAACAGAACTGGAGGTTCACACATGTCCTAGTTTGTACATGACTTAGTTGAATTTTTGCTGCATTTATCCTGTACCTTTTTGGTTAAACCTGCCAATGCCCAGTTGCCAACACAACTTAAACATTTGCAGTTTCCAGGAATTCCTCCTGCAATTTATCCACCACATCCTCGCCAGGTGTGGTGGCGCACACCTTTATTCCCAGCACTTGGGAGGCAGAGGCAGGTGGATCTCGAGGATCTCTGTGAGTTTAAGGCCAGCCTGGTCTACATAGTGAGTTCCAGGACATCTGGGGCTACAGGGAGACCCTGTTGCAAAAAGACCAAAAAAAAAAAAAAATACATCCTCCTATGAAGAAATCATCTGCATCCAAGGTGCCCTTTCCTCTAACCAGAAGTTCAGGAGTTCGGGTGGGGATGAAGGAATAGCTACGGGCACAGTAGGGGGAGCTGGGCCTTCAAAGCCTAAAATGCTGGTCCAAGCCACAGCAGGTGATGCCCTCATATTGACTAGGCAGGTAATAGGGACTGGGGTTGTAGGACTCCCTCCATGATGATCTTTTTCCTCACCGTAACCTAGCCAGGTCCATAGATGGATAGATGGATAGATAGATAGATAGATAGATAGATAGATAGATAGATAGATAGATAAATGAATAGATAGATGATAGATGATAGATAGATAGATGATAGATATAGATGATAGATAGATAGATAGATGATAGATTGATAGATGATAGATAGGAGAGAGAGAGAGATGACAGATATCTGGGTTCCCCAGCTCCCCAAGCTAGGGCTATTACAGGTCCAGTGGTTAGGGTGTCAGCTTTAGGGGATAGGAGGGTGGGAAAGCAGAGCGCTGATAGCCCATGAAATGTCTCATGAGTTCAGAAAAGGCTTTCTTTCCTTTGTGTGAATCAGCCCCCATCCCCGGCAAAGACAGAACAGCCTGGATTTTAGTCCCACTTGGCTTCTATGCCAGATGCCCTGAGTAGGGCACCACCTGCTCCCCCTGGAAGTCACAGTAACCTTGGAAGAGCTCCACCAAGGAAAGCCAGGTGCCCTCCCACCCTGGCCACCCTCTGCCTTGCTGGAGTCTTAGTGGCTGGAAGTCATCTCCCCAAGTTGGAGCTGGGTAGATATTATAGCCAAGAGCATGCTCCTCACCTCAGGCCTGATTTACTGAGACTTCAGGTCTAGAAAGCAGCCAGGTAGCCTGTGAAAGGGGCTTTATTTGGCTCTTGGGTAGCTGGACCCCAGAGCCTAGCCTCTTCTGACCTTCCACCCTCTTCCTCTGTGCCAGGTAACACAGTACCGGCAGTGTTTGCCATCCCAGCAGCCAACAGACCTGGCTTCACTGGCTACTTCATCCCAACGCCTCCCTCATCCTACAGGAGCCAGGCCTGGATGTCCTACGCAGGAGAGAACGAGCTCCCAAGCCAGTGGGCTGATTCGGTGAGACCCTTGCTGATGCTCTCAAAAACCTTCATCTGCTTGACACACTTCCAGGAGAAAATGAGATGGAAAATTGAGGCCCAGTGTTCAGTTCTCTGAGCCTCCCCATCGCCAGTGCACATTTTTAAAAGAGGCCATGTGGTGGGACAGGGTGATCTTAGCCCTTTGAGACTTGTCTTCTAATGCAGATCCTACCTCTGCCTAGCAGGGCATCCTTCAAACAAAAAACTACCATTTGTTTAGTATTTTCTGTTTTCTGGACACCATGTTGGAAGTTCCACTACACTGTCTCATTTAATTAATCTGAACAACAATTTTATCAAGGGGGTGTTTTAATTCTTGTGATTACTCCCATTTTGCCACAGAGGAAACTGAGGCCTAGTTATGTGATATAACGGGTGCCTAAGGCCACACAGCTGGTAAGTGCTAAGGCCAGAATTAGACTAATACCAATCTGACTCCAAACTATTTGTTAAATTTATTTCTATCAGCTGTCAACACTTTATACAATTTTAGATCAAATGTCCGCAAATGAAGCCTTAGAAACCCAAGGCTGAAATCACCTTATGGTAGATTCCAAGACTTCTTGCTTGACTTTCAGCCAATGATTGGTTTGTCCCAGTCTTTGATATCTCCCTTCACGACCATAGAAGTATATGACACAGTCTGTTCCGCCTTTGGAGTCACCTGTCACCTGCCAGGGGAAAAAAACAGAGGTAACAAGTGACTTTGCTTTTGTTTTTTTTTTTTTGTTTGTTTGTTTTTTTCATGAGTCAGCTGGACTGCCACTATATAGACTAGGCTGGCCTTGATCTCACAGAGATCCACCTGCTCCTGCCTCTGCCTCTCAAGTGCTAGGATTAAAGGCGTGAACCACCACACCCAGCCCATTTTTGTTTTTGATGATCCCTAGATGCTCTAGTCACTTTCAGTGTTGGTCTCTGCCTTTGGAATAAAGTTCTAGTTAGAAAACACCTTGACACTGGAGTCTGGTTCTCTCTCTCTCTCTCTCTCTCTCTCTCTCTCTCTCT